AATATTATACTATATCATACAATATCATACTATATTACACTATATCATACAATATTATACTATATCATACTATATCATATATATCATACAATATTGTGCTATATCATATGATATTATACTATATTATACTGTATCAAACAATATCCTAAATTATACTTGGTTATTTTGAATTTTTAACAAAATGTCAACAACTCCATCATTGTTTTTTTTCTTGTAGAAACTGAAATCAACTTCCTGCTGAAGCAGGCTCTGACCATCGTGGCCACGCTGCCCTTCACCTACATGTTGGAGGAGTGGAGGTGGCAGGTGTTCGCAGGAACCATCACCAAGAACGAGTGGATGAAGGTCTGGTGGGAGATGAAGTAAGTCTGGTGGGAGATAATTAGTCTGGTTAAGACTTAAATCAAACAGGTCTGAGTTCTGGTTCTGGTTCTGTTTYGACAGGAGGGACATGGTGGGCGTGGCAGAACCAGTTCCCCGAGATGAGTCTTACTGTGACCCTCCTGCTCTGTTCCACGTCTCTGGAGATTATTCCTTCATCCGGTAACGGTTTCATCATTCATCGTTCATCTTTTTACTCAGAACCTGTTCTGTGCTCTGAACGACACCTAGATTTAAAAGAGGGAAACATGTTTTCATGCAAAACAAAAYGTAAAAATACGATTTATTCTTCTGATCAAATAAATCTACATCTGCAGCTGATTTATACCTCTGTGTGTCCATCTTGTTTTATTCCAGGTACTTCACCAGAACCATCTACCAGTTCCAGTTCCAGAAGGCCCTCTGTGACGCAGCCAATCATGACGGTCCTTTATCATCATGTGACATCACCGGGTCCAAAGAAGCAGGAACCAAACTGAGGTACTATCTGTTTACTCTTTCACTCAGTTCAGGTGTGTACCACAGTAAAGTAGTATGTACTTAGTAGTTTTTCTTCGTACTGTACTAATACGTTTGTTGTACTCATCATGTAAAATAAATCAAATGAATTTAATGACGACTCTTTGTTTATTAGAAACATGTTGGAGCTGGGACGGTCCCAGTCCTGGACCAGAGCTCTGCACACCATATCTGGACACACCAGGATGGACGCCCAGCCCCTGATGGATTATTTCCAGAAACTTTACGACTGGTTGAAGGAGGAGAACAAGAAGCACGGCAGTGTCGTGGGCTGGAAACACAGCACAGCTGCAGCTCCACGTGAGTAAAATAACTTTTGTTTGATGAGGAGAAACATGATGATTTATAAACAGCTTAATAAAATCTAACAAGGCGGAGTCGGGTTGTCTGGACGGGTTCTTCTTTGTTCAAACTTTTTGTCTTAAATCTGAAGTGCTGAGGAGTAGCAGGTAAACAGGGCTGACAAAACTATAATACAAATGTTTTTCCAACATAAACATTAAAATGTGCTTCAGCTTCTGAATCTTACTGCCTTTTTATGCTACTTTTAACTTTTAGCTGCTGTTCTGCTTTTAGCTAAGCTTGTTTTAATTTTAGATATTAGCCACAATTCTTCTTCTTCTACCTTTAACCTAGTTTTTCCTACTTTTAACTTTAGGATAGCCTTGATGCTTTTAGCTAGCTTTTGTTATTTTTAGCTTTAATTACCATTTTGTTACTTTTAGCTTGTAGCTGCCATTTTACAACCTTTAGGTTTTTGCTTRTATAACACGCTTATAGCTAGCCTTTTGCCACTCTTTTTGTTAACATTTTGCTCCTTTTTACATTAGTGTTTTGCTTCTTTGAGCTAGTGGTTTTTCTCCTTTTGCATTTGGCTTGTGTTTTTCTTTGTTAGCACTTAGCTAGTTTTTTCTCCTTTAGCATTTAGCAATTATTCCATCACAACTAGTATTTTTCTTTTTTAGTATATAGGTAGTGTTTTTCTCCTTTAGCATTTAGCTAGTGTTTTTTTCTCCTTTAGCATTTAGCTAGTGTTTTTTTCTCCTTTAGCATTTAGCTAGTGTTTTTTCTTGTTTAGCATATAGCTAGAGTTTTTCTTCTTTTGCATTTAGCTAGTGTATAGTTAATGTTTTTATTTTATAGCATTTAGCTTGTTTTTTTCTTTTTTAGCATTTGTTTTTCTTTTTTAGCATATAGCTAGTGTTTTTCTCCTTTAGCATTTAGCTAGTGTATTACATTTTTAACATATAGTTAATGTTTTTCTTTTATAGCATTTAGCTAGTGTTTGTCTTTGTTAGCACTTAGCTAGTTTTTTCTCCTTTAGCATTTAGCTAGTATTTTTCTTTTTTAGCATTTATCCAGTGTTTTTTTTGCCTTAACTTTGAGCTAGTATTTTTCATTTTTAGTTTTGAGCTAGTATTTTCCTCTTTTAGCGTTTAGCCAATGTTTGTTATATTCTTGGCCTTGAATTAGTGTTTTTCTTTTTTAGCATTTTGCTCATGTTTTGATTCTTTTAGCTGAGAAAAACAAGCTTTGTACAAAGGTTGTGCTTTTATACAAATAATTTGTGAAAATGATCCAAACAGCAGCTCAGAATCAAGATTAAACTGGTTCGTTGTTGTTTTTAATTAAACAGCAGGTTTGATGTTTTCAAATGTTGAAGTAAAGAGTTAGACTGAAAAACTAATTACATTTTTTTACAGTGACTAAAATTATTTATGTTGATTGTGTTGAAACCTTTGATTTCCAACAATTTGAAGAAGCACTGATGTAACGTTGAAAAACCCCCCTGAAACAATAAGAGGAAGTAGAAGAAAAAACACAGTTTTGCATCAGTTTTATTGTTCTACACAATCAAATACCAGCTGATGGTTGTTTACAGCTAAAGGCCCTGTCAGTGTAATGGTTTAAACAACTTAAGAACATTTTAAAGACATCTACAATGAAATTTAAAAAATCAACTGGAAGCCTCTGTGTACATACTCTAATGCTCATAAATTTATCAAATGCACAACTTTATTTAGTAATTTAGACATAAAAAAGTCATAAGTTGTCTATAACGGTGTAATGTGACAGGGCCCTAAAATATAATATGAACATAATTTAGTTTTTGTGATGATAATAATAATAATGTATGACCATATATCAGGACACAAACTGGTGGAGATATAATAAAGAAAAGATTAAACGAGTTCATCTGAGTTTCTGACTTGTGATTCTTTTTGTTTTGCAGCTTCAGGCTCAGTTAAAGTCAGAATAAGTTTGCTTGCAGCTTTGGGTGAAAACGCTGTGAGTTTGACCTTTTTTCTACCTGAAACAGTAAAAATGCAGTCATTTTCTGAAGTCCACTCTGATTAACGTTCGATCACATTTCAGTATTCCTGGAACACAAACGAGATGTTCCTCTTCAAGTCCAGCGTTGCTTACGCCGTGAGAGAGTTCTACCATCAGACGAAGAAACGCACACTTGACTTTACGTCAGTATGCTGCAGAAATAACACCACAGAAGAAGAACCAGCGCTTCCTTTAAATACCTGTTTTTAACGTTTATTTTTTGTGTTTGCTCCATCAGATCAGAAAATGTCCACACCTTTGATGAAACACCCAGGATTTCCTTCTACATAGCTGTGACCAACCCTGAAACTCCAACCGAGTACATCCCAAAGGCCGACTTGGAGGCAGCCATCAGGTTAGAACTAGTTTATATTCAGGTTGAACCAGTTTATATTCAGGATGAACCAGTTTATATTCAGGTTGAACCAGTTTATATTCAGGTTGAACCTTCAGCCATCAGGTTAGAACCAGTTTATATTCAGGTTGAACCAGTTTATATTCAGGTTGAACCAGTTTATATTCAGGATGAACCAGTTTATATTCAGGTTGAACCAGTTTATATT